GAGAGTAACCATCTGGTTAGTGAGGGAGTCACGCAGGCGCTTCGGACCGAGTAGGATCACTTCTGTCTTCTCCGGGTTGAGAAGTAGGAAGTTAAGAGTCATCCATATTTTAAGGTCCTTTATGCAGGCACTGAGCTTTTCTAGCTGATCTGTCTGATTAGGCTTCATCGACAGATAAAGCTGTGTGTCATCTGCATAGCAGTGGAAATTAATTCCATGCTTTTTAATAATGTTTCCCAGTGGCAGCATGTAGAGAGTAAAAAGAATCGGTCCGAGTACCGAACCCTGCGGCACACCGAATTCCACTCCAGAATAAGGCGACGAGTCCTGATTCACATTGACGAAGTGATATCGATCTGATAAATAGGATTTAAACCAGCCAAGGGCTGTTCCTCTAAGACCTATATCACATTCTAGCCTCTGCAGTAGAATGCTGTGGTCTATTGTGTCAAATGCAGCACTAAGGTCCAGTAGGACCAGCACTGACACTTGTCCATTATCGGCAGCTAGTAGTAAGTCATTTGTGACTTTGACTAGTGCCGTTTCAGTGCTATGATGAGCTCTGAATCCTGATTGAAAGACTTCAAACATATCATTTTCCTGCAGGTGGCAGCGGAGCTGCTCAGCTATAAGTTTTTCCAGGATTTTAGATATAAAAGTGAGGTTCGAGATCGGTCTGTAGTTTGTAAGTATTTCTGGGTCCAGGTTTGTTTTCTTCAGAAGGGGTTTGATTACCGCGGTTTTAAAAGCTTGTGGGACATAGCCACATTGTATGGATGCGTTTATTATATTTACGATAGGCTCAATTATCAAAGGAAGTATGTCTTTGAAGAGCCATGTCGGGACTGCGTCTAACATGCAAGTTGAGGCTTTTGAGGATGTGACCACAGAGATCACCTCTGCTTGGCTCACAGCCATGAATTTATTAAGGCCCACTGAAGAGTCTAAGTGGGAAGTCACGTATGCCGCTTCAACCTGTCCACCACTAACAGCAGGAGCAACCTCCTCCAGCTTGTCACGGATGGATGTAATTTTATTATTAAAGAAGTGGAGAAAGTCGACACTGCTCAGTGAGCTTGGAATTTTAGGCTCGATTGCGCTATGGCAGTTTGTGAGTTTAGCGACGGTACCAAACAAAAATCTACTGTTGTTTTTATTCGCTTCTATTAAAGTTGAATAGTATTGAGTTCGAGCCCCGCGAAGGGCCTTCTTGTAGTTTCGGAGACCTGCTTTCCACTCCCTGTGGACAGGCTCCGAGTGGGAGTGGCGATATAGCCTCTCCAATTTTCTGACGTCCTGTTTTAAAGTGTGGAGTTGAACACTGTACCAGGGCGACGATGATCTAATCCTAATGGTTTTCTGTTTTAAAGGAGCTGCTGCATTTAATGCAGATTTTAAAGACTCCATAGTGTTGCCCACCGTTTGGTCGATGACTGAGGGACTGCAGCTGCTGTGAACAGGTTCACCTGCAGCAGTATTCAACATAGGCTGTATTAGTTCTTTGAACCTTGTGATAGATTTATCATTTAAGGTTCTTTTCATTATGGTTTTATCTTGCGGGACAGGAAAGTCCTCCAAAGCGAGATCAAACGTGATCAAGAAATGGTCAGACAGCAACGAGCTTTGACGCTGGATGTCAACATTGGAGACATCACAGCCGTAGGTCAGGACAAGGTCCAAGGTGTGGTTATGAATGTGAGTAGGTTCCTCGACATTCTGAGTAAAACCAACACCATCTAGTACGGCGCTGAAAGCTTTGTTTAAGCTGTCAGTGCTGTCGTCCACATGTATATTGAAGTCTCCAGCTATAACTGTATTTTGATGGTGTTCTTGCCTCGGCGATGGGACTGGCGGGCAGCAGGTGTCTGGACCCATAAAAACACCTCGTCCTCCATTTTGTGCTGAGGCTCTGGACATCTGGAGCCGTTCCGCAGCCATTCAAGACGCACGTATATTTTGTATGATTCTGAAAGGGAAAATAAATCATTTTGGGTGTGCGGAGATGAAGGTATATTGTGTTTTCAGAATGGGGAGAAAGGGAACTTTTGTGTTGTTGATTTTGGGGACATTGTGTGTCATTGGGCGCGATGTGCAAACAATGGCCCCTGTGTTTTTTTTTTTTTTGTTGTTGCTTGGAACAACAAAAGAAATACATTCAGAATTATGAATGATTGGTTTTCATCTTGTCCCTTACCAACAAACCCAGACATAAAAAAATATTTGTTGAAAAAAAATTGTCTGTGCTATTTTTGGAAAGCAGGAATTGAAGCATTGACTTCTTTGGGTTCTTGGGTATATATATTAGTTAATGCATTTAAACTAAAAAATCATACTTCTTTTGCCATAACCTTTAAACTTGTGGTTGCATATTCGTATACTAGCGTGCCACTGGGTTAAAAACATGATCTTGAGAATATTACCTGTGAAACCGAGAAAATATATGGATAAAACATGTAATGTCCAATGATCTAATAGTGGCGAAACACCCCTCGTGGAAGTGTCGGAAAATGCATTATACAAGATTCCACAAACTACAACAATATTGCTGTGTAAAAGGCTGAATTCATGTTCTAGGATCAGGAGCCAATGCAACTCGAAAGAATAAAAAGATAGAAAAAAGCTAATGTTTACCCATAATTATGTTAAACTGATACTGTGATTTGTAGACCTACCCAATTTACCTTGCATCGTAATGTACATGCCAGGCCTGAGGGTGGCGCTGTGGGGCGTCGTCAGGAAACAGATTTTTGGCCTAATTTATAAAAATCCAAGGCAAAAAGTGTCTTTGTGTGATTTATTTGAAAGACGAACATGATTCGGTGGGGGCCATGGCAAGTTCAAAAAGCCACCCTTTTCCTTTATACTCTTTGTACTTTATGCTAGAGAGGAGGGAGGAGGGGGAAATGATGAGAGAGGCATATTTTTTATCTAATTTTTAAGTAACCTTTAATTGTAGTGCGCCTGTGTTTACTTTTGAATGCGCTGGAAAAACGGCTGCAAGTCCTAAGTAGCTCTGGAACAGTTGTTGTTTTGTGTTTTTGAATTTTTATTTTTATTGCTTTTTTCTACCCGAGATGTTGCTGCAGTACAGTGTTCATGATTTTGCACTGGTCCAGACTGGAACGGAGAGGATTCATGGTCCGAACCAAGTGGATAAGATGAAAATCCACTGGAGGAATGCTAACTTTTTGAAAAATGCTAAAGAAGCCTTTAGCATTTTACTTTGGACTAGAGCAGAGAAAATGGTCTGAACCAAGAGGCTACTCCACCTCTGCTGCTGTGACCTGAACGGCTGTTGCTGATTATTACTATTTTTAACTTTTTAGAATGATACATTTTATTTTTGCTGCTACTGGGCACCTGAATTTCTCCTACAGGGATCAATAAAGTATCTATCTATCTATCTATTATGAGCTTGCGACTCCTACAGAACCTAGACCATGTGAGATTTCATAACACTTTGAAGCAACTTTTGTTAAAGTTAAACTCATCATTCTATCAATGTGCAGAAGCCAGTACTTTTCCCTTGTTTTGTCTATCTGAAGGCCAAGCTACATGGCACCGTGGCAGCTGCTGATTGGAGGACTCCATGCCTCCGCTCTGTATAATACACTTGCATTCTATTGTATCTGTTGTTCGTGTTCGTGCTGTCTCTACCATCGACAATAAAACATGTCTTCTGTCTGAATGAAAGACGCGATCCCAGACTATGTCATCTTCTTCAGGTGGTGGAGAATGCGGGCCTTGTCTGTAACATCTAGAGAACAGAAGACTTTTTTTTTTTACACAAAAAGTGTTTTTTTTCAAGCCAAAACTGAATCCACTACAGTACTAATGCTTTGATAATATGTTTTTGATGTGTACATTCGTACTAAACATTGGCAATAGCAGCGCTCACACACCTGTCTCGCTGCTGCTCCTCCTCCTCCTCCTCCTCCTTTGTTCACACACCCCTGTCTCCTCCTCCTCTGTTCACACAGAAGACGTGAATGTCCATCTCTCCGCACACTGGGCTCATTCCTGTTACTTTCTTTGTCTCTAACTCACTCAAATTTAGACACCGCTAAAGTTATCTGACAGCTCGTTCTCCCTGAAGGACCCCGCTGGGCGCACATAGCCGCCCTCGCGTCTGGCTGTTTACAAATTGCTTTCGGTGAAAATTGTGGGAACATACTTTTTAATCTTTGGGTTTGAGGAAAGTAGCAAGTCTTTTCAAGTCAAAAGGGTCAAGTCCAAGTGAAAGTCAGAGTCACTGATGTTAAAGTCCAAGTCGAGTTTCAAGTCTTTCAAGATTTGGTCAAGTCCAGTCTAAAGTCGTCGAATTTATGACTCGAGTGTGACTCGAGTCCAAGTCATGTGACTCGAGTCCACAACTCTGCTGAATACACCGAACTTGACTTTTCTGTAATAGAAGGACATGATCACTTAAGTCAAAGTAATGAATACATTTATATTTTGTGTTACGGATTACAACTAAAGGAACATATATTATCTGTGGCAAAGAGCAGAAGGCAGCTCTTTTTCTTAATGGCAGTAAGTCGTCCAGCAGGAGAAATAGTTTTAACAGATACACACTGAGGCTGAAAAGTTTGTTCTCCTCATTCTTCATACATTCCCACGCACACATTTTGAAGGCTTTTGCTTATTTACTTGGACAGGAACAATAGATTTATCCACATTAATCCACATCTCATGCTTCCAACTGCCTCTAATAAAATTTGTAAGAGCGGCAGACGAGGCAAGACCCTATTCTTTTACGCACACAATGGACCAGCCGGTGGGGAGATATGAAGGAAGTGACAGCAACAGCAACCCGGGATGAATAAAAAATCAAGACGCAAAAGTACGCGCGGGCCCCAAACCCTGGCGAGCCGCGCCATCCATCAGCCACGATGCATTGTGGCGTCCCGGGGAAGCGGCTGGGGAGTAGGCAGTCTGCGTTAACGGGGAGATAGATGGTGTGTGTACGGAGCCTGCTGGTATCCATCACCATTTTGAACTCATCCTCCAAGGGGCCGCGGCGTGCGCTCCTGTGTCTGGGCTAAAAGAGAGTGAAGGGAGGGGAGGGAAGGGAGAAAAGGGAGGGGAGGGAGGGGAGAGAGGGGAGGTGAGGGAGAGAGAGGGGAGGGAGAGGGGAGGTGAGGGAGAGGGGAGGGAGAGAGAGGGGAGGGAGAGAGAGGGGAGGGAGAGGGGAGGTGAGGGAGAGGGGAGGGAGAGAGAGGGGAGGGAGAGGGGAGGTGAGGGAGAGGGGAGGGAGAGGGGAGGTGAGGGAGAGGGAGAAAAGGGAGGGGAGGGAGGGGAGAGAGAGAGAGGGGAGGTGAGGGAGAGGGGAGTGAGAATGTGTGTTTATGCTCCTGTGTGGAGAGTTCAGGAGAGAGCCAATCAAAATAACAGCTTTTAAAAGCAGCTATCATTCTCCTAAATCGTCTTGAGTTGTTTTTAGCTCTTAAAATCAGAAACTTCTGTCTCCCACACGTAGGGTTGCCGACTTGAAAACGGAAAAATAAAGGACATCACTATTTTTAGCATGTAATTAATTGACTCCATAAATACAACAAATCGGTAGTCAAAATGAAATGAAAAATTAAACAGTCAAACTTTGGTTAACAAGAATTTATCATTCTTGAATAACTATAACTACTTATTTCTTGTAAATGATATCACTGTGAATAAGTGACTGCCTGCTAACAACCAAACAACAACGACCTGTGTCATTTTGGGTTCTTATAGGCCTATATTGTTTGTAACGACAACATAACCATAACCACAACTCATTGGGACATCTCCATCTCTTGGTTCTAGGCACTTTTAACATCAAACTGCATCTCAACCATTTGGTAGAGTCCTATAATAGAAAAACTAGGGTGCTTAGTGCTCATGCATCTTAGAAAATAAAAAATAAAAACATTTGTACGTTGATATCCTCAAGTAGCAAACAGTAAATGCTTAAAAGGAGGTATGTGTCATATCGTCTTGTTTTTTGCTCTTAAAAGTCTAGCAGCCTTATGCTAACGCTCAGAGTCTTTCAGGGTCCTCTCTCTCTCAGCCATCTCTTCTTGGGGTAAGATATTTTTTGTTGTGTTTGTATTAAATTGCTTGAGACGCACCTTTTCTCTTTGGCTTTTAATTCCAGGTAGAAATAGACAAGTTTTCGGTTTTGATGAGTGTATATTTTTCTCACTGTCTGTACAGTTTCACTTTGGTAAGCCCAGGTTGTCTTAAATGTGCTCTACAAACAAAGATTTGATTGATTGATTTATCTTGTAATAATTCAGTGTGATTAAATGTCCTCTTCTGTATGGTTTGGTTTGGGCCTAATATGTACAACAGACAATTTTCATGAAAACGTGAAATGTGGGACCTATAACTAAAAAGAACAGCATTTGATTCCAACAAAGTTTTGGTATTTACCCAAGATTACGTTCTTTACAACCATGTGGCTTTTTGTGTATAAAGTTTGTAATGTTCAAAACAAAACAAACAGCCCTCTGGTGGTAGAAGTGGAGAATTACAGCTTCTCTGCACACCCCAATATCGCTGTTTCCAGTGTTAAACCTCAGTCTCCTACGCCATCCATCTATCCATCCATTTTGGATGGATGGCGTAGGAGACTGAGGTTTAACACTGGAAAACCTCAGTCTCCTACGCTTTAAGGCTAAATAAAAATCATATTTGCGGTTTGTTTTATCCTTGACATGCACTGGCGAATACATTCAAAGATAACATATGTTGCTATTTTCTATCCAGTATCAATGTCAAAACATGCATTCACCACAAAGATGATTTTTCTTTTCCCTGCATTCTCTAAAACATATATAGTTTTATGCAAATGCAGCTATCCACGCCGTTCTTAACACCGGAAACTGCTTCTGCCGCCAAACCCTCTGGGGATTCCAAAGTGCCCCATGCTGAGAGCCGCTTTATTCTTTAGACATCACATGTTTATCTGTAATTTATACTTAGGGAACTTATGTTAATATTTTACATTCCATGACATGAAAATAGTCTCATTATCCTGTAAAGGTATTTCTAAAGGTTCCATATTACTCTTTAGACATCATTATAGTGCCTCATACACACGCCCACAGTAGTTTTTCCATTGAAGAGAGCCGGAGAGGGAACAAAACATTGATTTGGTGTAAAGATGTCATTTAAAGTAGCAATATGTAAGATTTTAATGTCAAGTCATCATTAAATGGCCCTAATCTGTCAAAATGCATCAACAAAACACGCTCTTTTCTAAAGGCGCGTTCAGACCAAAAGCTTCAAAAAGCTTTTGACGCGCTTCAACTGACGCCGGGATAGTTTTGTCATTTTGGTGCTTGAAGCTTTTGACGCGCATGACGCCGGTGGGAGGAGCTTCTCTGTTGCCTGTAGTCAGGACAGCGGTGGATTTTTCAATGAGCAGCAAGCCTTTATTTGTTATATAAAGCAAAATAACGTTGTTGTAGGGCTTCAACAAAACATGTTCTGGGTTCACCACAGACTTGAGAGGCTGCAGTGTTTGCAGAGTTCCGTCATTTACTCCAGGAGCTGCGTACGGAGGAGTTTCACTTTCAGCGGTACTTCCGCATGTCACTCGCCCAGTCTGAGTTCTCAAACCCCGGAGCTCGCCTCTCCCCGGCTCTCGCTCGCCTCTCCCTGCCTCTCCCCGGCTCTCGCCCGCCCGGAGCTGCCTTGCTCTGAGCCAGACTCATCGTCAGCCTGTTCTTATTTTAAATAAACTACGTTTACTACACAGCATGTGTACAATGATTTTTGTTACTCAGAACGTTACTACTCATACAAATAATATTACTAATAACAATAATGACAATAAAACAGTAGCAGCAGTTACATGACTTCTCTTCATGACAGAGACAGACCCTCTGCTGCTGCTGCTCCTCGTCTCCTGATTGGTTGAAGCCCGCGTCAAAGCTTCAAAAGCTCAGCTTTGCTCAGCTTCGGCGTCAGAGGGATTGTTTTGATACGCGAGCGTTTCGCGCGTCAAAAGCTTCAAGTGAGCGTGTATTACGCGCAACTCTTTAAGCTTGTGACGCCGGGGCCCTCGGCTTCACCTGACGCGCTTCACCATTCACTTTCAATGCAAACCTGACGCTTTTGACGCCGAAGTTAAGTCCGGTGTGAACGCCCCTTAATACTTTCGATAGATGAAAACATTCTTGTTATTGTTTTCAATTCGATGTCCCGCCCTCCATCGTTCCACCAAGTCTGTGACCCGAGTTGCCAGAATCCGGGTTAGCTCACCGCATCGAGCTAATCTCAAAGGTAAAGTAACATGTGGCCGCAGAACTAAAAAAGGTCTCATTATGATTCCCAAATAATGAATGACAAAATAAGGATATTAACGAGGATTTCTATAGGGGATGACTCTGAGAAAAAAGTGTTGGTTACAGATGTGTTGTTGACAAAATTGTTTATTCAGATATTATGGTCCCAGCTGGATTTGTCTGCATATCTGGCAACCTGAGTCAGGGACAGCGCAGTACCACTTTTGGCCAGATTTTTACATATTGCTCCTTTAAGGTAAAAAAAGAAAAAAGTCAGGAACCCCAGCTTTAATCCAGAGTGCCCACTCTTCCCCACGCACTGCACTTGCCCCCGCTCACTCCAAAAACGTGACCCCACTAAACAAAGACAATATTTTGAATCACAAAAAAAAGTCAATTCCACCACTTTGGGAATGGGAACAAAAAAACTTGGGCTTTTACGCGCCGAGGAAAAGCCACAGTCCACTCAAAGGGAGCGAGGTTGCCAGACGGTGACAGATGTGCGTAAAAGGAAACGGCAGCTTTTAAAGGCTAAGCAGGCCTCTGTCTGCGCTGGACTGGCGGATGCATGCATAAACCATGAGCTCTCTCCAGATCTGCCTTCACCCGCGCTTTTATCTGCTCTAACCACACTTTCAAGTCCACATCTACTGCCACCGCTTCAATTAGACACAGAGAGGCCGGAGATTATCAAAGAGGGCTCTGCTTAAAGCCCAGGTCTGGCTTAGAAGGACTCGTATTAGGCAAAGTGGCTTTTTAGAGCGTGTTGCAACATTGTTCCTCATCAGAGACCTGGAGTTGTTTTTAGCTCATGGACCGTAGAAGGAGAGGACTGATGCAGTGTTTGCCGACAGCGGAAAAAAAGGAGATCTGGAAATTGACGAGTTGGAGCCAAATGGCAAGCGACCGTCCACCGCAGCAAACTCATCTTCCAACCTTTTAAAATACTTGCAGCGTCAACAGTCTATGGCCAAAACACAAATATTAACACGGACCCAATATAAGAGGCAGTGTTTCCTTGCCAAGGCGGAGTGCACTTGTGTTTCCCCGTGTCCCAAAAGTTCAGGGTGAATGAGTGTGTGTTTGCGAGTGTGACTGTCTTCGGGTCCCAAGGCAACAAACCAAATGAACAATATGGCAACATAATTATGTATTATATGTACATTATGTGCATATTTATATATACAAAATAATAATAATGCATTTGTTTTACACAGCGCTTTTCAGGACACTCAAAGACGCAACACATGTCATTATTCTTTCGCTAAATAAATGATTGTGATAAACTACAACTGTAGCCACAGCTGTCCTGGGGCACACTGACAGAAGCGAGGCAACCACTCTGTGCCATTTCATGACACAGTTGCTTCAAAGTGTCATGAAATCTCTAAATCCCTATACCATTACATACGCAGTGTCCTGTTGCCTCAGTCTGACTCAGGCGGACTCAGACTCAGACTGTGCGTAGTCCTGGCCCAAAGTTATGAACAGAGGTAAATCTCCTGTGAGCACCGGGCTCAATTTTGAGGATTTGTTGTGCCATGACAATCCCCATTCCCAAAGCAATAAGTCCAAAAATGAGATTTCAAAACTTCTTAAAAAAAGGGGACCAAAAATCCAAAATGCAAACAGAAGGTATATACAGAGACATGGACAAGGGGCAAACAGGGACATAATTGGTCATCAAATACATGTTATATTTGTTTTATTATTGAGCTGATACGTTGTGGTAGCTTTCAACACAGAAGTGAGGAATTGTATCACACGTAAAGCTGGGGTATCTAACTTTAAAATGGAATGAAGTAGATAATCCGTGTCACTGCTGATAAATGAAAACATGGGCAGCAGTGATCACATCTTTAACCCGGTTTATTTCTGAGTCCTTCCAGTTCGAACAAAAGAGGACAAAGCTTTTCATAAGATGCGTATCAATGTGCAAAAGAACAGAGACGTCATCCAGTAAGATGTTAATGACGCATGCTTAAAGTTATAGGAGGATAATGTACTTCCTGGTGGATCATCAAGACTATTGGTCCTCCCAGTTGTCAATCATTCTGGTGATTCATGCTCATCAAATAAGACCAGAGAGTTTTGTTCAAAAAGTAGAGAGGGCTTCTTTCCTAAAATTTGGGACAATCCTATATACCTTTAACATTTGCTACACTTGGGTCAAAATTATCCACCACAGATTATTAAAAGTAGAGAAAAATATCTAAACTAGGGTCTATAAGGGTCTTGACTTAGGGCCAGTCAAGGTAGAAGATATCATCAAAATTCATCTTAAAATGTTATATGAAGAGTATTTTTGAATCACTGTGGCAGGAAAATGTGACCAGAGGATAGCACAAGGGTTTAGATATGGATACTAGTAACAATGTGGGTCAGAACAAATACGTTTAGTTTTTCAGATGATAATGTTTAGGAGTGATACAGAAACAAACGGATGTCCAGAACTAATGCAGGTCAGATTCTACAACTTCTTCCTGGCTCTATAACAGTTGGTTCTATCACATATCATTTTCACAGGCATGTATTTTTGATCTCTTTCACATCTTCGGATCAGCGGTGGTCCACCCTCAGCCAGCCAATCATCTCTCAGACTCAGTCAAATAGCGACTCACAGGGCTCTTCTTACAAGGGTGCAAAATATGCAAACAGGGGGACTGTTGAATATTAAAAGGCGCTCCATTTACCATTAAACTAAAATCAGTATTAGTATATGTTTTCTTCTGCTAAATTAATACTATATACAACTCAGAATGATTAGTTTAGAAACGCACTTGTTTTGTGTAAATTAATTCAAAGATCAGTTATATGCAAAAAGTGAGAAAAACCTTAGTTGTTATCTAAGCCAGTGCAGGATTTGGCAGCTGGCCAGAAGAAGTCCTCAGAGATCCACGAATCTGTGATGTCCATGACCTTGGATTGTACAGTATAAAAATATGACAAAGCATCACGGGCTTCCTTCTCTGAACCAGGGGAGAGCAGAGAGAACACCCCGAGGCCACTTTCTTATCTTCAAACGCGAAGCAGGCCTTGTTTCGCAGACCGTTAATCCTTTGTAATGTTTTGCTTGCAAAAATCTTTCAAATATAATATCTGAAATCAGGTTTGGTGTCCTGTCATATTCTATACAGTTTTTAGAAATTTGGTTATGGTCTCTTGTTGAACCCAAAAAGAACCTACAGACGAAACGGGCTGTTGCGTCCCCTCTCTGCACGCGTCCAGAAACGGGGAGCCCTGACAAATAACTGCAGTATACATATATTATATTGAATATTCGTAAACCCCACGTTAATGAGCTTATTGACATGTCCTTGAAATTATAATGCAGTATGATATGATCTTGATATCTATAGTAACTGTTGTATACATTAGTCACATGTTCTATAGTAACTGTTGTATACATTAGTCACATGTTCTATAGTAACTGTTGTATACATTAGTCACATGTTCTATAGTAACTGTTGTATTAGTCACATGTTCTATAGTAACTGTTGTATTAGTCACATGTTCTATAGTAACTGTTGTATTAGTCACATGGTCTATTGTAACTGTTGTTTACATTAGTCACATGTTCTATAGTAACTGTTTTATACATTTACAGTAAATGTGTTATTGATTGATATTTGTGTTATTGAACATGGCTACCTCCAATAGCTTCTCTCATGGTGCTTTCAGACCGGCAACGCTGAAACGCTGAAGCCCCGCTCACCAGACGCGCATTCTCTAGTTTTCAGACGCACGGGTCTTTACACCGAGATGTCCTGACGCGCACCGGAAGTACCGGAAGTAGCCGGCCGGCTCTGATGCTAACAGAGCTATGCTAGCGGCTTCTTGTGTACAGATCTTCTCCAATATGCAGCTTTTCAGTGTGTGTTTGAACAGAGACTTTCCACGGGCTTTATATAACAGCAGTATGTGTTCACAGAGGTGGCTTTATACAACAGTAGTATGTGTTCACGGAGGTGGCTTTATATAACAGCAGTATGTGTTCACGGAGGTGACTTTATATAACAGCAGTATGTGTTCACGGAGGTGACTTTATATAACAGCAGTATGTGTTCACGGAGGTGACTTTATATAACAGCAGTATGTGTTCACGGAGGTGACTTTATATAACAGCAGTATGTGTTCACGGAGGTGACTTTATATAACAGCAGTATGTGTTCACGGAGGTGACTTTATATAACAGCAGTATGTGTTCACGGAGGTGACTTTATATAACAGCAGTATGTGTTCACGGAGGTGACTTTATATAACAGCAGTATGTGTTCACGGAGGTGACTTTATATAACAGCAGTATGTGATCACGGAGGTGACTTTATATAACAGCAGTATGTGATCACGGAGGTGACTTTATATAACAGCAGTATGTGTCCACGGAGGTGACTTTATATAACAGCAGTATGTGTTCACGGAGGTGACTTTATATAACAGTAGTATGTGTTCACGGAGGTGCGCCATACGTTTTTTCATATTATTAAACGGTATTTCCGCATCGGCGAACACACTCAAAGCAGTTGCATAAAGTCACGGGAGCATGACAACACATATTTTCACAAGCACAGAGTCCCCCATTGTCAACCCTGGTTTGAGTCCTGGTGAAGTCTGGTGTAGCTCCTGTTTTGGCTGTTTACAGTATTTTCAGTCTGCTCTCTCAGTCCGCTAATGTCCCCGTGACCACTTTGCTGCTCTCTGATTGGTTGTCGCACAAACGAGAAGATGATCCGGTCTGAAAGCACCATCAGACAGAAGTAGCGACGAAGTGGCCGGAACTACCTGCTGAGTAATCTACACCTGAATTATAAAAACTGAGTGCGTTGCCAAAGGGCAGCGGTCATTAATGGTTTGAGAGTCCGTTATCCAGAAATGATGACCGGTAGAAAGTTTTGAAATTAGATTCAAATCAATGAAGCTTCTACTGCTGCTGTGAGGAGAGTGTAAACAAGAGTTATAACCTTTTAAAGTCCTCATACATTACTGTGAACACACTCTGTGTGTCTCTGACTGTGTGTCAGTGTGTGTGTGTGTGTCTCTGTGTGTCTGTGTGTGTACCTGGTCTGGTTCACTCAGTTCCAACATGTCCTCTCTGCTTCTGTTCCACTGTAGGATGAGTCTGTTCAGATGCTCTCGGCTCCTTCTCTGCTCCTCCGGCATCTCCCCAAATCTCTGTCCCAGTTCTGACAAGAGCCACGACTCTCCCGCGACTCACCCACGACTCACCCACGACTCACCCACGACTCTCCCGCGACTCACCCACGACTCACCCACGACTCTCCCGCGACTCACCCACGACTCACCCACGACTCTCCCGCGACTCACCCACGACTCACCCACGACTCTCCCGCGACTCACCCACGACTCACCCACGACTCACCCACGACTCACCCACGACTCTCCCGCGACTCACCCACGACTCACCCACGACTCTCCCGCGACTCACCCACGACTCTCCCGCGACTCACCCACAATTCACCTACGATTCATAAAAAATATCTCAATCTTTGCCCAAAATTTTGGTGAAATCTGAATAAAAATCAATTAAAGTTTCTCCAGAGTTTGTTGGAGCTCTCTGCGTCTGCTCCTCTCTCCACAGTCTGCAGACCCACTGTGTGTGTCTGTGTGTATGTCTGTGTGTGGGTGTATTTCCGGGTCAGTGCATGTGTGTTATGTGCTGTTACATGTACACTCCCATGTGTGAGACCAGCCCAGTGGGGGCGGGTCTCGGCTCTAAAGTGTCCAAAATGACGTGCGCTGACATGCTGCAATACCACCCCGGGCCTGTGAGGGTGGACCCAGAAGTAGAATTAGCCAATGCTAACATATAGCATCTTCTTACCTCTGGAAAACGTCTTTACAGGATGGTCCAAAGTTGGCTCTTGGCCCAAAGCTCCGTTCCACATGTGTGGTTTGGAGTTGGTGCTATGGCTAAGCTAACAACAAATTGCTGAGGTTGGTCCAGTTGGTCTCTTTGTGAACAGATCCAAAAAAAGTATTTAGTCAGCCCCCGATTGTGCAAGTTCTCCCACTTAAAATAAAGACAGAGGGGGGGTCAAGTGATGCAGCGATAGCAGCCAGACGCTAGTTTGGAGGCTCTCCGATAATTTATCCATATCAACCATCAAAAACATTCGGATCAACTTCGTTTCCCTATAACTTGCTTCCTTAACAGGAGGATGGATCTGAGATCTAAAAATAAGCCAACTTGCTCAGCAGTTATGGATGTTTTACCGAGTTACGACGAAGATTTGCATCAAGAAGTTAGCAACATGGCGCACGAGCACACCGCGCCGCCTATGGACATAGCGCTCTTGCTTCAGGAAATTCGGTCCGGGAATCAAGCCCTGAGTGACAAACTGGACAAACACACGACAGAGATCAACCAGTCTATCTCGGGGCTAAAGACAGCACTCGATGGTTTAAAGTCCCGTGTTAACGAAACGGAGGACCGCATAGGAGCAGTGGAGGATGAGCTGAGTGACGTGAGCGCCCAGGTGGCCAAACTTATAAAAGACAAGACATTCTTAATGGATAAAGTTGACTCACTCGAGAACTACAGCAGGCGCAACAACATTCGTGGCCTGTGGCTTTTTTTACCAACTGGCTCCCAATCATACTCGGACGTGAGGAGTTCGCGGGACCGCTCATGATAGAGCGAGCGCACCGAACACTCGGTCCGAAACCATCCGCAAGCGAGAGACCCAGACCTGTGCTGATCCGGCTGCTGAACTACCAAGATCGGGAGAAAATACTACGCACTGCTGCAAAGCGATACAAGGAAAACAAGAGTCCTAAAACGTACGAGGACAGACCTCTTATGTTTTTCCCTGATTTAAGTCCGAACCTGGTGAAGCGGCGTAAGGAGTCCGACCATGTGAAGAGAGAGCTGCGCTCCAGGAATATACAGTACTCACTATTACATCCTGCAATCCTGAGGATAACGCTCGCCGATGGGAAACGGAAAATCTTCCAAACACCGGGAGAAGCAGCAGCTTTTCTAAAGGAATAGTTGGGCTGCCCGCTATTGCACCATGCCACTGTGTTGCCATATGTCCACGGCATATATTCATACTCAGTTTAAGAATGTTTGAGACAATATATCATGTCGGAGAGCCCCCAGAGAGTAGAGAACGTTGTTCACGACGAGAAGACCGTTTAGAAGGAAGGGAACTGTGCCACATGTTCCAGGAGCGGCACTGAGGGGAATTATGCTCACTTTTATTTTCGTTCTGGGTTTTGTTTGTTTGTTAGTTTTCAGATGCTCACACACGTGCCTATATATAATGTTTTACAAACACTTTCCTCATTGTCACAGTTTTAAAAGGTCAGGTCATTTTATATGTAACAGAATTGTATGGATAGGGTCCTGAAGTTTGTCAGTTTTAATGTAAACGGATTGAATGGGCCTGTCAAAAGGAAAAGAGTCCTGACTTATTTGAAAAAGTTAAAGGTAGATATTGCTTTTATCCAAGAGACTCACCTTACTTCTGAAGAACATAATAAATTAAAGCGTGAATGGGTGGGGCAGGTTATATCCTCCTCATTCAACTCAAAAGCCAGGGGAGTGGCGTTACTGCTCAGGAAGAATACTCCTTTGGAAGTGATCGATACTATCGTTGATCCTTCTGGACGATATGTCTTAGTAAACTGTAGGATATTTTCTGAGCAGTGGTCGCTCTTCAATGTCTACGCTCCCAACTACGATGATGACTCATTTATGCAAGACGTATGTCTCAAACTTTCTGGAGGGCATTGCAATTTACTAATTGGGGGGGACTAACTTTTGTTTGGATCCAGCCTTAGACAAATCGTTTATGGTAATATCGAAGTCTAAAGCTGCTAACATTACTCACTCTTTTATGAAGGACTTAAATCTAATGGACGTTTGGCGGCATATGCACCCTCAAACTCGAGACTCTTCCTTTTACTCATGCCCCCACAATTCACACACCAGAATAGATCTATTCTTGTCCTCTTCCCATCTGTTCCATAGAGTGTTAGATACAGAATATTTACCTCGGTTACTGTCTGATCATTCACCACTGGCTCTCTCAATCATATTTCCCGATATGCCCAGAAGACCATATCGATGGCGGCTTAACTCTACTCTTCTTCAGAGACCAGACTTCTGCTCATATGTTAGGGGTCATATACAGTTGTTTTGTGAAACAAATAGTCCTTCCTCGCCCAATAGCTTTATCTTTTGGGACACGTTAAAAGCCTACCTAAGAGGACAAATAATCTCTTATACAAAGGGCCTTAAGAAGAAGTACACAGCAGAAATAGAAAAGATGGAGGTAGATATTTCAAACTTAGAAAAAGACTTTCAAGGCAGTGGCTCGAAGGACATTTATCAGTCATTAATCCAGAAAAAAACTCAATACAACACATTGAACACTTATAAGATTGAAAAGGATATCTTAAGGACAAAACAAAGATACTATGAATTGGGAGAGAAGGCACATAAAATATTAGCATGGCAATTGAAAGCTGAGGAAAGTAGCAGAACCATCAACGCAATTCAGAACGACATTGGGAACACGTCATATAGCCCAGAAGAGATAAATGATCATTTTATAAGTTTTCATTCAAATTTGTATACATCTGAACGTCCTCATGATCTGACTCAAATCGACAATTTCCTCTCCAAAATTGAACTTACTAACATTGGCGAAGAAGACCAACAAAGACTGGATTCTCCATTCACCCAAACAGAAATAGCTAAAACCTTAAATTCCCTCCAGCCAAATAAGGCCCCTGGAGAGGACGGTTTCCCAGTGGAATTTTATAAAGAATTTAAGGACTTGCTCATTCCACTGTTTATGGATGTAACACAATTAGCGTTGAAAACACATACACTCCCTGAATCCTTCACTACAGCCATAATCACAGTAATACTAAAAAAGAATAAAGACCCATTAAAATGCTCCTCCTATCAGCCTATTTCTCTGCTGAATGCTGATTACAAACTCATTTCTAAATTGTTAGCGAATCGTCTTAGTCAAGTTTTACCTAAAATTGTTAGTCCTGATCAGTGTGGCTTTATTCAGAAACGCTTGTCAGCAAATAACTTAAGTAGGCTTTTCAGCATAATTCATCTGTCACAACATCGGTCTGACCCAACGGTGGCAGTAGCATTGGACGCCGAAAAGGCCTTTGACAGGCTGGAATGGCCGTATTTATTTAAGGTAATGGAGAAATTTGGTTTTGGACAATATTTTATTGACTGGGTGAAGACTCTATACTATAATCCCAAAACCCGAATTATAACTAATGGGATAATTTCATCATCCTTTCCCTTGCAAAAATCGAGCAGACAAGGCTGCCCCCTATCTCCCGCCCTATTTGTTTTGGCTATAGAGCCTTTGGCTATAGAGCCTTTGGCTATAGAGCCTTTGGCTATAGAGCCTTTGGCTATTGAGCCTTTGGCTATTGAGCCTTTGGCTATTGAGCCTTTGGCTATAGAGCCTTTGGCTATAGAGCCTTTGGCTATTGAGCCTTTGGCTATAGAGCCTTTGGCTATAGAGCCTTTGGCTATTGAGCCTTTGGCTATTGAGCCTTTGGCTATAGAGCCTTTGGCTATAGAGCCTTTGGCTATTGAGCCTTTGGCTATTGAGCCTTTGGCTATAGAGCCTTTGGCTATTGAGCCTTTGGCTATAGAGCCTTTGGCTATTGAGCCTTTGGCTATTGAGCCTTTGGCTATTGAGCCTTTGGCTATTGAGCCTTTGGCTATTGAGCCTTTGGCTATAGAGCCTTTGGCGGAGGCGATCACACAGGACCCAAACATCAAAGGCGTCAGTGTTGGTGGAGATAAACATAAGATTAACCTTCTGGCCGATGACGTTATGTTGTATATTACAGATCCGTCTCAGTCCCTTACTAGACTACAAACTCTGCTTCACTCTTATGGTACAGTGTCAGGATATAAAGTTAATTATGATAAAAGTGAAATCATTCCACTAACAACATTTAATTACGCTCAATGTCATGATACATCAAGTTTCAAATGGGCTCCAACAGGGATAAAATATCTTGGTATAAACTTAGATAATAATCTTAAAAGTCTTTATAAACTGAACTACAGTCCACTGTTGAAGAAGATTGAGGAAGACTTGCTGAATTGGACCCCTTTTCCCATCACACTAATTGGGAGGATTAATTGCATTAAAATGAACATCCTACCAAGACTACAATATCTTTTTCAGTCTCTCCCCATTTCACTACCACAGTCTTTTTTCAAATCTCTGGACAAAATTATAAGACATTTCATTTGGAATGGCAAAGTAGCAAGAAAGTCATTGGAGTCACTTACATGGAACTATAACTCTGGAGGACTAAGGTTGCCCCATCTTTCTGCACAGCTGCGCTTTGTGTTGTCAATGTTTGACAGGGATGAGGTGCCGTCCTGGGTTCATATTGTATTTCATCCTTTGAAGGAAAATGCCTGTAATTTTGTTCACAAATACAATGCAAAAAATGTGTCTAAGAAAACTGATAAGGCCATTCTTATACATCTCGTTAAGGTGTGGTATGAGGTACATCAATGTGCTGGCCAGAAATTTGGTTTGTCCCCAATGTCGCCTTTGAGACAAAATGAACTGATCCCACTGACTCTGAACAACAACATTCTGCAATCCTGGCATAACAACGGAACTCATACTTTGGAGGACTGCTTTGAAGGAGGATCTTTGATGTCTTTTGAACAACTAAAGCTCAAGTATAATCTCCCAAATAACACTTTTTTTTGTTATCTCCAGTTGCGTTCATTTCTTATCTGCAATTCGGGTAATCATTTGTCTTTACCTAAACTTACAGGCCTTGAGAAGTTGTTGCTTTATAGTGGATCATGTACATTTATTTCTCGAGTGTACTCTCTGTTAATTAATGATTGTGCTAAACCAGCTGTGTATCATTCTGAGGAGAGGTGGGAGTCGGACCTAAACGTTACCATAGAAAACAGTGTTTGGCCAGATCTTTGTCAAAACAGTGTGTCGGCAACTATTAATGCTCGCTATAGACTTGTACATTATCATTTTCTCCATCAGCTTTACCTGACTCCGGAAAAAATGCACAAATCAAAATCAAAACCAAGCTTGTCAAACACATGCTTTCGATGCAATGCGGAGATGGGCTCTTTCCTACACTGCACATGGTCCTGTATAAAAGTAGCAGGTTACTGGCCAAAATATCTCTTCCTCCCGATCCTGAAGTGTGCCTGCTTGGAAATCTAACGAAAATTGACAACCCTATGAACAAATATCAAACAACATTTCTGGAAATTGCACTATCGGTTGAAAGAAAATGCATTGCTGTCACTTGGAGGTCCGATTCCCCCCTCTCTCTGACAAGATGGTACTTAGAATTGAATAGGTGTGTCCCTCTGGAAAAAAATTACCAATAGCCTGAGGAAGGCATTCGACACATTTGTCAAAGTATGGCAACCATACCTGGAACATATGAACATAAGCCCAACAGACTGTATCCTTAAAGTAAATAATCTTGACCTTAATGTGATGTCAGAGCATCTTTTTTTTCTTTTCTTTTTTTTGTGAGCGGGGTGGGTGTGGTATAACTGTTCTTTGTTGTTTGTTCTAAACTGAAAATTTCAAAATAAAATATTTCAAAAATAAATAAAGACAGAGGTCTGTAATGTTCATCATAGGTTCACTTCAACTGTGAATCCAGGAATTCACACTGTAGGATTTTTAAAGAATGTATTTGTAAATTATGGTGGAAAATAAGTATTTGGTCAATAACACAAATTCAACTCAATACTTTGTAAAATAACCTTTGTTGGCAATAACAGAGGTCAAACGATTACTATAGGTCTTTACCAGGTTTGCACGCACAGTAGCTGGTATTTTGGCCCATTCCTCCATGCAGATCTTCTCGAGAGCAGTGAACACGGACTTTCAACTCCCTCCACACATGTTCAATGGGGTTGAGGTCTGGAGACTGGCTAGGCCACTCCAGGACTTTCAAATGCTTCTTACGGAGCCACTCCTTCGTTGCCCGGGCGGTGTGTTTGGGATCATTGTCATGCTGGAAGACCCAGCCACATTTCATCTTCAAAGCTCTCACTGATGGAAGGAGGTTTTGGCTCAAAATCTCACGATACATGGCCCCAGTCATTCTTTCCTTAACACGGATCAGTCGTCCTGTCCCCTTAGCAGAAAAACAGCCCCAAAGCATGACGTTTCCACCCCCATGCTTCACAGTAGGTATGGTGTTCTTGGGATGCAACTCAGTATTCTTCTTCCTCCAAACACGACAAGTCGAGTTTATACCAAACAGTTGTACTTTGGTTTCATCTGACCACATGACATTCTCCCAATCCTCTGCTGTATCATCCAAGTGCTCTCTGGCAAACTTCAGACGGGCCTGGACATGCACTGGCTTCAGCAGGGGGACACGTCTGGCACTGCAGGATTTGATTCCCTGTCGTCGTAGTGTGTTACTGATGGTAACCTTTGTTACTTTGGTCCCAGCTCTTTGCAGGTCATTCACCAGGTCCCCCCGTGGGGTTCTGGGATATTTGATCACCGTTCTCATGATCATTTTGACCCCACGGGATGAGATCTTGTGTGGAGCCCCAGATCGAGGGAGATTATCAGTAGTCTTGTTTGTCTTCCATTTTCTGATAAGTAAGTAAGCTTTATTTATATAGCACCTTTCACAGACCAGAGTCACAAAGTTGTTTACAATTGTTATTTTTGGGCACTTGTCCTCTCCCTCCACACAGAGATGGGAGCGGGGTCGCCGAACAGGAGGCGCATGCCAGACCTATTGTACATATTTTTAGTGGTAGGGGAAACCGGAGTACCCGGAGGAAACCTACACAGACATAGGGAGAACATGCAAACTCCACTGGCCCTGGTCCGGCCGGGATTCGAACACAGGACCTTCTTGCTGAGAGGCGAGAGTACCGCCTAGAGATAATTGCTCCCACAGTTGACAGAAGAGCTTCTTAAAGAAGAAGTTACAGGTCTGTGAGAGCCACAGATCTTCCTTGTTTGAAGTGACCAAATACTTATTTTCCAACATAATTTACAAATAAATTCTTTAAAAATCCTACAATGTGAATTCCTGTTTTTTTTCTCACATTCTGTCTCTCACAGTTGAAGTGAACCTATGATGAACATTACAGACCTCTGTCTTTATTTTAAGTGGGAGAACTGGCACAATCTGTGGCTGACTAAATACTTCTTTTCCCCACTGTACATACACATACAGACATGCACATACATACTGCACATATACATTTCATAATAAACATAAGACATAATTAAACATCACTTTTGTAAGTCTGTTTGAAATCCAAAATGGTCCTGCAATTTTTTAAATCTTTCTCTTGAGAATTCCACAGTTTGACTCCAGCCACAGACAAACTCATCTGTTTTAAAGTTGTTTGTGCTATTTGATGTTTGAGATCATATCTCCTTCTATGATTTAGATTTTCTGAAGTAAACACAAATAAATGCTCTTCTGGAAGAGCTGTTTCTGGCTTTAAACACGATCAATAACGTTTGTAACTCTACTATGTTCTTAAACTTAAGAAGTCCTGATCTAATGAAAAGGGGATTCTCTCTAAATGCAGCTTTAGAAACGAATGTCTCTTTTCTCTAAAAGAACTAAAGGCTTCATGTTGGTGCTGTTGGCATCACCCCATGTTTCTACACAGTCAGTAAAGAAAGGAAGAGTCATTGAGCAATATAACATTCTCTAAGTGTTACAAATACTTGGAAATATTTACTATAAATACACTTTTAGAAACCTTATTCTCTACATGCATTAGTCAGTTTGTCCAAGATCACTCCGAGAAATCTAATTTCGGACACTTTCTCAATATTTGCATCATTAATAGATATTTTAACTTCAGGTTTTATTTTATTGCCAAATATCATAAACAATTTATTTACATTAAACCACAGATTTAGTTTAACTAATTCCAGTTTAACGTCCTCAGCTAAACTCAAATCAACAACTGAGCAGAAGAAGTTTGTATCATCTGCAAATATATATATATGTTTTTATTTAATCTTTAATTCAGACACACAAAGGGTCCATATAAAACATATAAAACAAAAGAGACAAAAAAGACACAAAATAATACATTCTGAAACCTTTGAGACGTCACAGATGTCGCTTATGTATAAAATAAATTATTTAAGTCCTTGTGGAAGTCCACGTCCACTCCCCTCTCTCTAGCACCACTCCCCTCTCTCCAGCACCACTCCCCTCTCTCCAGCACCACTCCCCTCTCTCCAGCACCACTCCCCTCTCTCCAGCACCACTCCCCTCTCTCCAGCACCACTCCTCTCTCCAGCACCACTCCCCTCTCTCCAGCACCACTCCCCTCTCTCCAGCACCACTCCCCTCTCTCCTGCACCACTCCCCTCTCTCCTGCACCACTCCCCTCACTCCTGCACCACTCCCCTCTCTCCAGCACCACTCCCCTCACTCCTGCACCACTCCTCTCTCCAGCACCACTCCCCTCTCTCCAGCACCACTCCCCTCTCTCCAGCACCACTCCCCTCTCTCCAGCACCACTCCCCTCTCTCCAGCACCACTCCCTCTCTCCAGCACCACTCCTCTCTCCAGCACCACTCCCCTCTCTCCAGCACCACTCCTCTCTCCAGCACTACTCCCCTCTCTCTAGCACCACTCCCCTCTCTCCTGCACCACTCCCCTCTCTCCTGCACTACTCCCCTCTCTCTAGCACCACTCCCCTCTCTCCTGCACCACTCCCCTCTCTCCTGCACCACTCCCCTCTCTCCAGCACCACTCCTCTCTCCAGCACTACTCCCCCTCTCTCCTGCACCACTCCCCTCTCTCCTGCACCACTCCCCTCTCTCCAGCACCACTCCCCTCTCTCCTGCACCTCTCCCCTCTCTCCTGCACCTCTCCCCTCTCTCCTGCACCTCTCCCCTCCCTCCACAGGTGTAGAGCTCAGAGATGAGAAGTGAGTGATTGTGTCCAAAGGCTTCTTTAAATCAATTAAAACCCTGATTGTGTTTTTATTTTTGTAAATTGCTGTTGACGTGTGTTTTACGAGGTTCATGTTTACGTGTGTTATACGATGTTCATGATGACGTGTGTTCTACAATGTTCTAGTTGACGTGTGTTCTACGGTGTTCATGTTGACGTGTGTTCTACGATGTTCATGTTGACGTGTGTTCTACGGTGTTCATGTTGACGTGTGTTCGTGTTCTACGAGGTTCATGTTGACATGTGTGTTCTACGGTGTTCATGTTGACGTGTGTTCTACGAGGTTCATGTTGACGTGTGTTCTACGGTGTTCATGTTGACGTGTGTTCTACGGTGTTCATGTTGACGTGTGTTCTACGGTGTTCATGTTGACGTGTGTTCTACGGTGTTCATGTTGACGTGTGTTCTACGGTGTTCATGTTGACGTGTGTTCTACGAGGTTCATGTTGACGTGTGTTCTACGGTGTTCATGTTGACGTGTGTTCTACGGTGTTCATGTTGACGTGTGTTCTACGGTGTTCATGTTGACGTGTGTTCTACGGTGTTCATGTTGACGTGTGTTCTACGGTGTTCATGTTGACGTGTGTTCTACGAGGTTCATGTTGACGTGTGTTCTACGGTGTTCATGTTGACGTGTGTTCTACGGTGTTCATGTTGACGTGTGTTCTACGGTGTTCATGTTGACGTGTGTTCTACGGTGTTCATGTTGACGTGTGTTCTACGGTGTTCATGTTGACGTGTGTTCTACGAGGTTCATGTTGACGTGTGTTCTACGGTGTTCATGTTGACGTGTGTTCTACGGTGTTCATGTTGACGTGTGTTCTACGCTGTTCATGTTGACGTGTGTTCTACGCTGTTCATGTTGACGTGTGTTCTACGATGTTCATGTTGACGTGTGTTCTACGGTGTTCATGTTGACGTGTGTTCTACGAGGTTCATGTTGACGTGTGTTCTACGGTGTTCATGTTGACGTGTGTTCTATGATGTTCATGTTGACGTGTGTTCTACGAGGTTCATGTTGACGTGTGTTCTACGAGGTTCATGTTGACGTGTGTTCTACGATGTTCATGTTGACGTGTGTTCTACGGTGTTCATGTTGACGTGTGTTCTACGATGTTCATGTTGACGTGTGTTCTATGGTGTTCATGTTGACGTGTGTTCTATGATGTTCATGTTGACGTGTGTTCTACGAGGTTCATGTTGACGTGTGTTCTACGAGGTTCATGTTGACGTGTGTTCTACAATGTTCATGTTGACGTGTGTTCTACGATGTTCATGTTGACGTGTGTTCTACGATGTTCATGTCATGTTGACGTGTGTTCTACTGTGTTCATGTTGACGTGTGTTCTACGAGGTTCATGTTGACGTGTGTTCTAAGATGTTCATGTTGACGTGTGTTCTACGGTGTTCATGTTGACGTGTGTTCTACGGTGTTCATTACAGCTGAGCCTGTCGCCCGATTGGACAGAAATCCGTACTGATTTAAATTCAATAGTGTTTTTTTTCTATAAATCTGTCTAAATTATTCACAAACAATTTTTCAAATGTTTTTTTAAGTTGAGACAGAAGTGAAACTGGTTTATAACTGTTAGATTTATGTTCATCTCCAGTTTAAAAAAAGAATTACTTTAGCGGGTTTCATCCCATCAGATTAATGATAGAATGTGTTTAATGGGCGGCAGTAGCTCAGTTGGTAGAGCGTTGGCCTTTGAGCCAGAAGGTCGTGGGTTCAAGCCCCGCTCAAGACTTTCACCATCGACTCCCACTGACTACTGTCGTTGTGTCCTTGGGCAAGACACTTAACCGCTGGGAACAGCAGCCACAGTGGGGCGGCTGCGGCTGTAAAGTGCCAAACTGCTGTTGTGTCCTTAGGCAAGACACTTCACCCCCATTGCCTGGAATGAGTCTGGTGTGTGTGTGAATGGTTGGTGGTGGTCAGAGTGGCTGATGGCACAGACTGGTTGCCTCTCTTCTGTCAGTGTGCCCCAGGGCAGCTGTGGCTACATTAGTAGTTTATCACCACCGTGTATGGAGAGAATGAATAATGACACATGTGAAGCGTCTTTGAGTGTCCAAAAAAGCGCTATATAAAACCGATGCATTATTAATGTTTAATAAAACTATCTATGGTTATTTTTATATTTGCTCGTCAGAAACAACAGATCATATTTCATTATCACTTCATCCAAAAACATCCTTCTATTTGCCCTGGTCCAAACGCAGCTTTTATTTACAAAATTCTATTAAATAAACCTTTGTTGCTTGTCTTAAAAAACTGCTTCATTTATTTTTATAGTTTTTCAGCATTTTCTGTTCTCAATTTAATTCATTATTTATAAAGTCTGCTTTTTTAAAACCAAGGTTTTGATCCTGACTTTCTGTTCCACAAACAACAGTAACACTTCTGTTTCCATAGCAACACTCACTCCTCCTCAGTCCTCCTCAGTCCTCACTCCTCCTCAGTCCTCCTCACTCCTCCTCACTCCTCCTCAGTCCTCCTCAGTCCTCCTCAGTCCTCCTCAGTCCTCCTCAGTCCTCACTCCTCCTCACTCCTCACTCCTCCTCACTCCTCCTCACTCCTCCTCAGTCCTCCTCAGTCCTCCTCACTCCTCCTCAGTCCTCCTTACTCCTCCTCACTCCTCCTCACTCCTCCTCACTCCTCCTCCTCAGTCCTCCTCAGTCCTCCTCACTCCTCCTCAGTCCTCCTCAGTCCTCACTCCTCCTCACTTCTCCTCACTCCGCCTCACTCCTCCTCAGTCCTCCTCAGTCCTCCTCAGTCCTCCTCACTCCTCCTCCCTCCTCCTCACTCCTCAGTCCTCCTCAGTCCTCCTCACTCCTCCTCACTCCTCACTCCTCCTCACTCCTCCTCACTCCTCCTCACTCCTCCTCCCTCCTCACTCCTCCTCACTCCTCCTCAGTCCTCACTCCGCCTCACTCCTCCTCAGTCCCCCTCACTCCTCCTCACTCCTCCTCAGTCCTCCTCACTCCTCCTCAGTCCTCCTCAGTCCTCCTCAGTCCTCCTCAGTCCTCCTCAGTCCTCCTCACTCCTCCTCAGTCCTCCTCACTCCTCCTCACTCCTCCTCACTCCTCCTCACTCCTCCTCACTCCTCCTCACTCCTCCTCACTCCTCCTCAGTCCTCCTCAGTCCTCCTCACTCCTCCTCAGTCCTCCTCAGTCCTCCTCAGTCCTCCTTACTCCTCCTCAGTCCTCCTCCCTCCTCCTCAGTCCTCCTCACTCCTCCTCAGTCCTCCTCAGTCCTCCTCTCTCCTCAGTCCTCCTTACTCCTCCTTACTCCTCCTTACTCCTCCTCAGTCCTCCTCACTCCTCACTCCTCCTCACTCCTCCTCAGTCCTCCTCACTCCTCCTCAGTCCTCCCTCCTCACTCCTCCTCAGTCCTCCTCAGTCCTCCTCACTCCTCCTCAGTCCTCCTCAGTCCTCCTCAGTCCTCCTCAGTCCTCCTCACTCCTCCTCACTCCTCCCTCCTCACTCCTCCTCAGTCCTCCTCACTCCTCCTCAGTCCTTCTCACTCCTCAGTCCTCCTCACTCCTCCTCAGTCCTCCTCACTCCTCCTCAGTCCTCCTCAGTCCTTCTCACTCCTCAGTCCTCCTCACTCCTCCTCACTCCTCCTCAGTCCTCCCTCCTCACTCCTCCTCAGTCTTCCTCAGTCCTCCTCAGTCTTCCTCAGTCCTCCTCACTCCTCCTCAGTCCTCCTCCTCCTCCTCCTCACTCCTCCCTCCTCACTCCTCCTCAGTCCTCCTCACTCCTCCTCAGTCCTCCTCACTCCTCCTCAGTCCTCCTCACTCCTCAGTCCTCCTCCTCACTCCTCCTCACTCCTCCTCAGTCCTCCTCACTCCTCTCAGTCCTCCTCAGTCCTCCTCACTCCTCCCTCCTCACTCCTCCTCAGTCCTCCTCACTCCTCCTCAGTCCTCCTCTCCTCCTCAGTCCTCCTCAGTCCTCCTCAGTCCTCCTCAGTCCTCCTCAGTCCTCCTCAGTCCTCCTCACTCCTCCTCACTCCTCCTCAGTCCTCCTCAGTCCTCCTCAGTCCTCCTCAGTCCTCCTCAGTCCTCCTCAGTCCTCCTCACTCCTCCTCACTCCTCCTCAGTCCTCCTCCCTCCTCCTCCCTCCACCTCAGTCCTCCTCAGTCCTCCTCACTCCTCCTCAGTCCTCCTCACTCCTCCTCAGTCCTCCTTACTCCTCCTCACTCCTCCTCACTCCTCCTCAGTCCACCTCACTCCTCCTCACTCCTCCTCCCTCCACCTCACTCCTCCTCACTCCTCCTCAGTCCTCCTCACTCCTCCTCACTCCTCCTCACTCCTCCTCAGTCCTCCTCACTCCTCCTCACTCCTCCTCAGTCCTCCTCAGTCCACCTCACTCCTCCTCACTCCTCCTCACTCCTCCTCACTCCTCCTCAGTCCTCCTCACTCCTCCTCACTCCTCCTCACTCCTCCTCAGTTCACCTCACTCCTCCTCACTCCTCCTCAGTCCTCCTCACTCCTCCTCACTCCTCCTCACTCCTCAGTCCTCCTCCTCCTGGATTCTATCCAATTATGTGATTTAAGTTGATAATTAAAATGTTATAGTGTCCTGAAAGAAGGTTCTACGTCATGGTGCTACGTCCCTTAGGACTTCGCTAGTGGGATATCACTCGTGACCCCCAGGTCACACGCCAGAGAGATCAAAATAATTTGCTCCAATCACCAGCCACCTTCCTCTATAAATGCCCCTGCACAAGGCCGCACCCCCTCTTTCACTCTGGCGCCGTTTGAGATCTACCACAGTACTTACTTCATTCTGAGATGTCTTTCTTGTTCGTCCGAGTTCCCTTCGCCCTCCGGCGTCGGACGTTGTCGCTGGATCCAGACGGTGGAGGACTTCACCTCTGTGGGCGCCACCACTCGAGGAAGGAGGAGGATGCAACCCACGTTGTGCCCGCGGATGGACCCGTTCGTCCATTACGCGACACGTGAGTGGCCTAAGC